TGTACCACAATTTCTGTTGAAAACAGGGAAAGGTTCATGAAAGAAGGCCAATTTTAGTTAAAAGCATCTTTTAGAACAGTGAATTGTTGCATATTGGAATTGAAAAATACTTGTGTTAAATGGAAATTGCAGGTGATATTGAGTGGGAAAGGAGGAGGGAGAAATGAATGCACATATAGTGGTAGAGGGAAAATACCTCTACTGTGTGCTTCTGCTGCATTTTTGGCTCTGGCTATTGCCATGGTGATTGAGCACACATATTTGTTGATTGTTGTGAGCAAAGCAACTCCTCCTCATATACTTTATTGGGATCCTCATTCTGATTCTCTCAACTCTCTTGTTTGGCAAGCTGGCTTCTTCTTTGTTTCCACATGGTATGTATAATGTCACCTTTCCTTCTAATCATCTTAAAATGATGTTAACATATAACTTGAGATATGAGAAAATTAGGGGTGTCAAATAGTCGGGTTGAGCCGATTTTGGACGGGTCAAAATGGGTTGAGTCAATAAATGGGCAGGTCATTGACATGCCTAAAAATTACTTGGGCTGAGGTGAGATATGTTAAGATGTACTAAAATATTCGATCCACCCCTGGTTTCAATCTTGTTTTTCCATTTTGCAAATATCCTAACAATAACATACTATAATATCTAGCTTTTGTTAAACTAGAGTTTTAAAACATCATTAATGCGTGTAGTATTTCAATCTTATAACAGGGTTTCTTTTGCTGTTGCGGAGATATTGTTACTAATAGGGCTAAGTGTAGAGTCTGGACATCTAAAAAATTGGGAAATAGCAAAGGAAAGTTGTTTAGTAGTAGGACAAGGATTATTCTCAGCTGCTGGAGTTTTTGGTCTACTGACAGTTTTCTTGGCGGCTGGTTTATACATGATAGCACTAAGAGCACAAAGACTATTGCTTCATCAAGAAAGTATAAGTCGTCAAGTCCTAGAAACCTCTATGCTTTTTGCATCTCCACCAACATCTCCTCGAACTATCATTAGACCTGTTCCTAATGAAAATCCAATTTCAACAACAGCTCAGAGTAATGAACATACTACTTCATTAGCACAGTACCTTTCTGACTTTGATAAGTATTTATACTTGGTTTGAAGAAACACAAGACTTCTGAATTTCTCCATCCTAAAAATGCATTTCAAGTTCGTCCAAGAGCTGAGGAAAAAAATCTTGTATGTTTTTACTGTTTTCCTACAAGATTGATTTGTATATAAGTTTTTACCAACTCCCTTTTTTGTTTATAGACATGACTGTTTCTAAGTGTAAGTACTACACCTTTTGATATCAAAAGAATTTTCTGTTGGGATCTCTAAAAGAACTTATTGTAAAATATGGCCCACGTTGGTTACAAGTTATTTTGGGTTTAATAAATATTAAATTAAATTTGCTAAATTTCTTTTGGCTACTTGGGGAAGTTAATTTTGATTAAAACTCCCCACTCCCCACTATGATAGAAAGTGGGATTATGCGTTAAACTACGGGTCCATCATTATTGTTCTGAAAGAAAGCAGAAAGAAAAGAGAGAAAGAACTTTTTAAGTCACAAGTAAAGGTCATATAATTTCGCTGCGAATTATCAATGGAATCGGGTATGTTTTTTGATTTATGCATTTTATATGAAAATCATATAGTTTGACAGTTCTAAATAATTGATAGGATTTTACATAAATTGCTTATGAACCACAATTTGACAAGAGTGGGTTGCTCTAGTAGTGAGCACCCTTCACTTCCAACCAAGAGGTTCTGAGTTCGAGTCACCCAAGAGCAAGGTGGGGAATTCTTGGAGGGAAGGATGTCGAGAGTGTATCGGAAACAACCTCACTTGGAGGGAGGTATGTCGAGAGTGTATCAGAAATAGCCTTTCTACCCTAGGGTAGAGGTAAGGTCTGCGTACACACTACCCTTCCAGACCGCACTGTTGAGATTATACTAGGTTGTTGATGTTGCTGTTGTTGCTTATGAACCACAATCTAGAACATGAAAAATACTTACATGCGGTATCAAGAGCACAAGTTTAGGAACTAATGATTCTCCGTTAAAATTAAAGTTTCCTCAATTTTGTGAACCCTAATTATGTATTTAAGAAATTTCACAATTACTGTTAATAATAATAACGAAGCAGATGTAAATTGATTTTATGTGTTGATGACCAACAATATATTTGATAATCATTTGATTTCATGATCATGTTGGCGCTGTGGATTCAGCAAGTAAAAGGATGAAATACTCTCCATGTCGTCATGTAAATGAATTCTTTAAAGGACTTAAACTGACACTTGTACGTAAATTCTTTGTTATATGGGCTTGATTTGCTTCAGAATGCTTTTAAAGTTGAATCCATGTGAAGTATATTATCAAATATATAAACTCAGTGATTCATATGTCTGCTTTTAACTTATTGTTATGAAATTGACTTACTAATTTTAAAAGGTATGCATACTGTTTCTATGGTTCCTATGAATAACCTGATTATGGGATTTGCTTATTTTGTTCAATGGTGATTACAAGTACTTGTAGCTATCATTTTTAATATGATTGATAACCGTAAGATTAAACACCATTGGAACTTCTTTTACTGGAAATACTTGTTGGCACAGTAGTGTAAATTATGACAGCCCTTCTAGTTAGACAGAGTCTAGTTAAATCCAAACTTACTAATTATATTTGCAAGAATCACTACTAGAAATCCGGGAAAAAGCGATAAAAAATTAGCGACCAAATTTGGTCTGTCAAGAAAAGCGACCAAAGTTGGTCGTCAAACTGTCGAAAATAATAAAAAAATATTTGAAATACTTTTGGTCACTATTTGGCCGCAAATTTAGTCAAATTGTTGACTGAACTGGTCAGACTTGCTTGGTCAAATATATACTGAGATTAACGACCAATATTGGTCGCTAAAGTGGGACCCACATTAAATTTATTAATAATTTTATTATTATTTTATAAAACTTATAAAATATAAATA